TAAGCAAAAATTTATCTTCATTTTTAATTATTATCTTAAATTAAATGCACTCTCATATCAGATTATATTTAAATCTTGTTCTTTTTATTTAAATGCTAAATCTTGACAGTTTATTACTCTTTAAGCTAAAATAGAAAACAAAACAGTGATTCTTAAACTGTTTTTATTTATAATTTGTGACTTTTATATCACTTATTTTGAATAATGAGAAATGAAACCCTATTTGGGGCTATAACAAGCCCATAAAATGTGATCCATGATTTAATTAATTATTTACTAAATTTCGAAAATAATTTTAATTAATTATAGGTAACAAATAAAAAATAGAAACCGATTTTATATAATTTTTTTGGATCGTGATATTGGTTTGTTAAATCATTGTTCACTGTTGTAACAAATCACTGTTATGTGTTATTTTTGCTACTTTTACTTCAAATATGTTCTGTTATCTGAATTTTTAATTCTTATTATAAGAAAATATAATATTTACATAAATAAACTATATTTGTAGGATAAAAATAAAGTTAATAGTAGAACACGAGTTCGGATCTTCATATCACGTAGATATTGCTCAAAATAGTATTTGTGAGTAAAATTGTAATTTTTTCTTTGTTAACATTTTAGTTTTTATATTTGATATAATTTCAAAGAAATTGAAAAAATCTGTTTAAGCCATTAATGTTTTTTCCCCTAATAATGCGATTATAGAATTTATTAATTAATCGAAAAGAATAATAGGTTAAAGATAAGGTTCAGTTGGCATACTTTTTTTTGGTAATTTTCAAAAACTCACTGTAAATAAATTTAATTACAAAAGTATAAGTATATATTCTTGAAATTTCAAATTAGATTTGTTTGATTTAAATACAAATTTGGCTTGTCAAGTTTTTAACATTGAAATTTTTTGTTTTATTCTTTGACGGTCATTAAACCACAATTAATTTTAAATCTTTATTAGTATAAAAAAATTAATTTAGTTACGATTATTTAAGCGCATATTAAATTTATGAAAAATATTCAATTTTGTAAATATGCAGAAAACAAGTGTAAAAGTAGTGTACCATCCAATGTAAAAAACAAAAAAATTAAATTCGATTTGGGCAAGAATGAGAATAGTCAGCTTAATGTAATCTTAAATGAGTCGAAATTTGTTAATATTATGTTCAATCTCACAATTATTATAAAACTTAAGAATAAAGAGAATAAAAAATTGAGAATAAAGTGTTACTGCTACAATTCAGGAGCAATTAGAAAATCAAATTATTGGATGTCTCGAATTCAATTCTATTGAAAATTTATGAACTTATATCAAAAGCGATGGTGCAATTTGGAAACTTATTCTTTAAATAAACTAATTCTAATTTGTTTATAATTTATTGTCGCAATTACCTTGATGTTCAAGTCTGCATTTCATTTACATTTGCAAAGTTGCACATGTAAAAAATATTTTAAATTTATAAAATTTTCTAAAATTTATCATTAGTGAAAATTCATTATAACATTCTTAAAATTTTTAAGATTTCAGTTTTTATCTTAACAATTTTATCATTGAAAAGTTAAATATCTTACGCGCACTGATGGTACTTCTATATTTCCGTAAGTTTCTTCACTATTTTTTGATAGCATTTGAACACAATAATATTAAAAATAACAAACGTATATGGAATTTATTGAACTGATAAAATTTCATGGTTTAGAATTCTTTCAAGGTTGCAAATGCCACAGAATCATTATTGTTTTATCATTATTGATGTGCACATTTTAAAAACTTGCTTTTGTATAGTTGGTACAAAAGAATATTTTTAAATTTGTTAAAATTTTTTGAAGTTGATTTGGAAAAATTATAGGTTAAAAGATAAGGTTCAATTAGCACACATTTTCTTCTTATTATTTCCAAAAAATTAATATAAATTTTCTATATACGAAAATATTCTTAAAAATTTTGGAATTAGATTTGTTCGATTCGATTAATTTAATTTTTATTTTTGCCGGTCAATACTCTGATTTTAGCTTTCAAAAAAAAAAAAATTTTTTTTTTAAATTTAAACAAGCGATTGGTATTCAATTGATTTCGATTTAGTTCAGGATTGAATTGAAATTTTTTCCTATAAATATTTGATATTGAATTTAAATATTGGAAAATTTTGGAAAATGAGATTCAATTAGAAATCTTTTGAGTTACATTAAAGTTTATGTTTCATTGGCAAAATGTTTTTATTGGCATTTAAGAATATAGAATGTTTGCAGGCATTTAGCAGCAACAAAATTTTACACTTTTAATTACAATTCAGGTTAAAATTAGTTTATTATAGTTGTCGCTGTCTACGTTTTATGGCTTATAAAATAATTATTATTCTTAGTTATCATGTATGTATATGTGTAGGTATTTAGAAAATCCTTTTTTTGTCACAATTATTGAAATCTGTTCTTTTTTTACGTTTCTTAATTATCACTGATTGTAAGGGAATAAAATCATTTTTTCTATATATATTTCACTAAGTAGTTTTACATATTTCAATGGTTTGCCTCATAAATTTTTCAATTCAAAAAATTTCACTTCTTGGATGAACAATAGTTTCTGTCCTTATAAACTGTCGTTCAATTTTCGAGTTTAAATTTAATAAATATTCAGGAAAATTTCATTACAGTTCATTTTTTGTAACATTTTTCTAAAATTTTGTACAAGATTTTTATATATTTATCAATAGTTAGGTATCAATTATAGCTAAATAATTTTAATGATGTTGGTATATGACTTAGACAACTCTTCGCTTACAATTATTTAGAAATCATATTCATGAAATGACAAAAAACAAAAACAAAGACAATTGCAACCAAACTACCATCTAATGGTAAATTTATGAAACCTTAATTCTTCCTTCATTAAAAGAAGTAATTTTTTGTTTTTGTAAATCTCATTCGTACATACAAAATATTTATACAGGAAAAAGATTATTATTAATGTCATAATTTAAATTAATTATGATTGCAAATTTTTCAGCAGATTGTGGCAGAAATATAAGTATTTATTTAATGAGTTTTTAGCATATTATCTTCAATTACGATTATATAAGGAAATTTTTTTGGAAAATGTTCGTCCTTCTGTTCGTCTGCCTGTACAAATACTCGTATTTACGCAAATTTTATTTGACTTTTGAGATAAAAATTAGAATTAATATTTAAATAAATTTTGGCAAGAATTTTTTCTTTACTATAAAAGAAACAAAATTACCTGGCCTCAGCTCTAAATCTGTTCCATAAGCTCCAATATATAGGGAATATTTTTAAGCATTAATTTTTGCGGAAACAGAAAAAACTCAATATGAAATTAAAATAACAATGACTTTATTTGTTTCAAAATTGATTTTTTTTTTCAAAATCAACTGTGCTTTCATAATAAAATGAGAATTCTTGTGAAATCTTAATTAATTAGCGTATGCCTAAAAATGAGAATATTATGATTTAACACAAAAATTGTTTAATTTACCCATAAAAGTTAACATAATTGTCAAATAAATATTGACATAATATTGTTTGTAATTTTGTAATATACAAGTTTTCTCTCCCGAAATTCATCCTTAAAGTATGCAGTCAATAAGAAAATCATATAATTTCAATAGAATACCCGGTTCCATGTGAATTTTACATTGCAATTAATTAATTTATATATGTAAATTGAAATGTGCTTTTTTTAACAAATCATTGATTTGACTCAACTTCAATTTTCTCTCTTCTATATTCAACGTGATTTTCTTCAACATTTTTAATTAAAATATAAAATTATTAATAATCTACCTGAAGAAAAAATAAACACGACGTATACTGTAGGTATAATCTCTAGGTATATTAGAGAGACTATATTTTTTTTCTTATTTATTTATTCTTTTATGTTATCTCTCTTCTCTTCTAAATGATTTATGTTCAACTAATCGACCTTCGTAATAAATTAAATAGGTATTAAAAAGCTTTGAATAGTTTATAATTGAGTAAATGTAGTTTTCTTAAAAAAAAACGCTTTAACCGTTTTACAAAGTAAAGAGTAAAAAAGAAACGTTGCTATTTTTATTTCATTATTATTTTTTTTTTGGTTGTTGCTTAAAACATTGTCTAAGTGTGATTAAACTGATAACGGTTGATTGTTATGTAAACTTTTATTACTGCAGATAGAATAAATCTTTGAACGTGATGATGTACGCTAAATTTTTTTTTTTTTTATTTTCATTTTGAATTTATAGAATTTTTTTTAATACCTTTTTTGACTAAAAGCATTTCATTTAATTCATTATAAAGTTGCACAAGTGTTTAATAACATGTTTAATATTTTTTAAATAAATTCTCGTTCGTCTTCTGTTATACGTATACGAAAGGAAATGTAAATTTAATATTTATTTTTTTTGGGAACTTTGAATTATTTATGAAATTTTTAATAATTAGATTCCCAATAAAAGCTTTTAGAAAATATTTTTTTCGGAATTAATTAAATTTTATTAAGAATATTAGGAGTTTAACATTACAGTTGCATTGTAATCTTCATGTACACTTACATACAGCCCTATTAAATGGTAGAAAATAGTTTTATTAGTATTAATATTAATTAAATTAATTAAATAAAATAAATAAATTAAAATAATACCTTTAAATTAATTTTTTGTTTTTTATTTCAATTACAGATTGCAAAAATATTTTTTATAAAATTAATTCAACATTAATTCAATTGAACGCTTAATATTTTTAATGTTTAAATATGTGAAATTAATTATAATATTGGTATATGAATGAAAAATTTGGAATATACTTAAAAAAAATAATAATAATATTAAATATTATTTTATTAATTTAATTTTTGTTTTTTAATTGGTGAATTTTATGTTGTTAAATTTTGTTGAAAAAAATTTTTAATTTTTAAAATATTTAAAAAAAATTATAAAATAATCAATTAGAAAAACAAAAAATATATATATTGAATTGTCAAATTGAGACATTGAAAAAAATAAATAAATAAAAAATAATTAAATAGAAATTATTAAAGACTTTCATAGAATAAGAAAAAAAAAAACAAAGAGCATATTTAAATTTAAAACAGACTAAAGGATAATTAGAAAATGATTTCCGGCTATGGTGCGGTGACACAAGCTTTTCTTGTAAGTAAAACTTTATTAACAGTTATTTTTACATATACATACTTAAATATAAATATATTTATTTTCATTATTATTTATTACTATGTTTGAGAAATAAAAGTGAAAAATTGGATTTGAATTAATAACGCAATTAAAATTATTTGTTTGTGCAATGAACACTGTGAAGTATAATGTCATTTTTGAATTTTTTACTTTGCGGTTATATGAAAAATAAAATTTAAAATATTTTATTAACAACCACATACTCGTACATATGTATGTATGTATGTATGTGTGTAAAATATCATTTTATATTTAATATTTCAATTAAATTATATTTTATTAAACGTGTACAATTTTATTTATGTATACGTATGTAATTATTTCTATGCATATATAAGTGTATGAAATATCGAAACATCACAAGTTCAAATTTGACATTTATACATACATAACAAGTTTAATATTGATAAGCACACTGATGGATTTCAATAATGTAACAATTGTTTTGTTTCGGGTCAATGTTCTCTAATTTTTTATATATGTACATACATACATATACATAATTGTTATGTATACACCTATGTTTTTGCTTTTTTATGAAACACATGTGTTGCTCAAGAAAATGCAAAATAAAAGTAGTCTCCGATTTTAGTAAATAATTTTGTTTACCGTTTATAGTTTAGTTATAAAACGAAGAATTATTGACACTGAGTTCAATTACTATATTGAAAATCAGAAAAAGTGAACTTATATATTTTGTGAATGAAAATTAGTAATAAAAGTTAACTGTTATACGAATTACATTGCAATTTATTTCATATATTAATAAATTTTCGTTTATTAGACGCAAAATACCTACATAGCTCTATTGATGACAAAGTTTATGCGTACATTAATTTTGATGATTCAAACAGCAATGCTTTGATTTTTTAAATTTAATCAAAATTTAAAGAACGGTTGTTAAATTCGATAACATTTACATATTTCCGATTAGTGTTTGACAGTGACATTCGTTTGTTTGACTTTGTCAATAGAAAATCAACTTTTTCAAAATAATTTCTAATAAAGATTTAAAAAAAAATAACAAATAAAAATGATTATTTTAACAATCTATAATTTTTTTTTATTTTTAATAGGGCACCCTTTTAACATGGGGTCTTACAGCATTAGGTGCAGGAATGGTAGTATTTTTACGAGGCAGTCAGGTATCCAATCTACCAAATTCATTTATTAATTTTAATATTAATTTATACTTTTTTTTTGTTTATTTTAGAGAAAATCACTTGATGCTTCATTAGGTTTTGCAGCTGGTGTAATGATAGCTGCATCATTTTGGTCTTTATTAGCACCAGCAATTGAATTAGCTGAAACATCTGGTTTATATGGTGAAAAAGGCCGTTATGCATTTGTACCAGTTGCAGCTGGATTTTTATTAGGTTCAATTTTTGTATTTGGTTGCGATAGATTAATATCATATTTAGGATTACATAGTTCACAAATGATGATAGGTAAGATAATTAATTATATATATTTTATTAGAAAAAAAAGCTAAAAATTTAATATTATATATAGTAGTTAATTAACTAATTATAATGGGGCTTGTTGAACTAAAAAAATGTATTGTAAAAAACAAAATTTATTAAAATAATTTTAATATTAAAATTGTAGTAAATTTTTTTAAATTACTTTTTATTTAGTAAATATTAATTTTTTAATTAATTTTAGGTGGTTACGGTTGTATTTTAGTTAACAGAATTTGAATATCTTAAATTTGTGATTATTTCCAATATTTTAAATAAATTATATTATTCTTGTACTAATTAATTAGTAAATGTACGCTTAATGTTAACTTTCAAATTATTAAATTAGTAGTTTATAAAAAGATTGTAGAATATTGTTAAAGATTTTCCAATTTCCTTGGTTAACTTATTCTCTAACACTAATATTAAATTCTGTGTTTTTTTTTCGGAAAAATAGGTAATCTTTTACAAATTCAAATATTGTAAAATGATATTTTAGCATTCATCAAAAATGAAGTAATTAAAGAATTCTTAAGGAATTTTTGGGAACCAGACAACTAAAAATTGAATTTAATTTTTAAAACTTTTTCCAAATTAACTAGAAACTAGATGTATAACTTTCAACATTCAACAAAAGACCCGAAAAATAGAATACCCTTATTATGATCAGCGAAACGAATGGCTAGGCGAGTCGAATGGACTAGGTGAATCGAATGAAATTTTAAATTATGATCGGTAAATGCTTTTATTCGGGGTTGTTGTCAATTAATTTATTTAAATGCTCGAATTGCTTTTGGTTCGTTTTTTTTCACGGTTAAATTTATATTAAACAGCGAATATTTTTTACAATAATTTGTAAAATTTTATGAACTATTTTACAGATAGTTTAGATTTTTCTATTATATCACTATAAATGCTATAATATTCAATAATACACATATGTATTATTTTGATTTTTGGTTTCATTCGCCAAGCTTGTCACACACAGAATTTTCATTCGACAGGTTTGAATACTTATTCACCTAAAATTTAGGCAAATTTGCTTATCATAATACAAAAAATTTATATTCGGCAAAAACTTTATTCGCTTGGCCGATTTTATTGAGGGTCGAATATAGAAAAATTGGTAGTTCCATTAATAAAAATACAAAATTGAGCGCTATATAACAATTATCCCTTCCGTAGAAAAATCACAGAATTAATCCGAACGAAATATTGTATTTCATTTAATTTAAAAAATTTTCAACAAGCTTCAAATATTTAGTATTTGTTTATGTAGTTTAACAATGCTTAGAATTAACAATGTAAAATTTTTATTTTTTTTTTGTTAATTATTTTTGTAGCTTTATCACAGAATAACAGGGATAAAGCTTTGGACAATTTGGAAAGTAATATACAGAGTTGTGGTTTGTTTTTCTAAAATTTTAAAAATGTAGAATCAAAAGCTAAAAATATATATACATTTCTCTTTCTTTTTTTTCTATTTTTTTTTTGTTATTTTTTGGAAAATATTTATTATTCTAATATTTTTTTGTGTTATTGTTACGATTTTTTTTGTCCTTGTCCTTTTTTTCTTTGTTTTATTTTTCTACGTTTAGATCATGAAATTATTGCCACAACCCAAGGTATGGACAGTTTCTCAGACTGTTTAAATACACAACATGGACGATCACGAAGAAGAAAGAAATGTACACCAGATAGAGATACGGTATTAAAATCTTAATAAATTTAATTTTCAAAAATATCATAAATTGAAATTGTTTTATCAAACAGGTATCATATTCAGAACAACAAAAATTAGATATAGATATTGCAGTTTCCCAATGGAAAAGAATAATGCTATTAGTTATTGCCATTACAGTACATAATATTCCTGAAGGTAAATATTGTATTTTCAAATATAAATCAAGAGACCTTAACTTATTTTTGTTTTACAATAACAATAGGATTAGCAGTTGGAGTGAGTTTTGGGGCAATTGGTACAACTGAATCTGCAACATTTGAAACTGCTAGGTATAATTTTTCCTAAGTTAGAAATTTTTTGCCCTAAATTTCAAATGAATAAAATATTAATATTAATTTTTTTTTTTTTAGAAATCTCGCAATCGGTATTGGTATACAAAATTTTCCAGAAGGTTTAGCTGTTAGTTTACCATTACATGCAGCTGGATTTAGTTTACCGCGTAGCTTTTGGTATGGTCAATTATCTGGTATGGTTGAACCAATTTTTGGTGTATTAGGTGCTGTTGCAGTGACTATTTCTTCCATGATATTGCCTTATGCATTAGCATTTGCAGCTGGCGCTATGATTTATATTGTTGCAGATGATATATTACCAGAAGCTCATGCTAGGTAAATAATGATTGTTGTTTTTAATTTATTTTATTTATAGATAAGCATAATACTTATAATTTATCATTTTTAGTGGGAACGGTTTAATAGCTACGTGGGGTACTATAATGGGATTTGTTGTTATGATGTGCCTTGATGTTGCCCTAGGATAAAAAAAATAATGAAGCAATTTTTAATTTCTTGTAGTAAATAGAATATTTGTATTCCTATGTATATCTATGTATAAGTAGATAATATTATACATATATGTAGAATGTATTTTGTGTTTACAAAAGGACGATTTTCAATTTTTGAAAATATTTCTTATCATATTTTGTATAATTGTTCATATTAATTCCTGGCAAAAAAAAATTTAGAATTAAATGGAAAAATTTGGAGCGATTTAATTTAGGATTTAAAATATTAAATAAAATTCCTTAATAACCTTTGAAGGCTGAAATTCATCAAAACAAAACAAAGAAAAATGTTAAATTTTAATTGAATTTTACTTAAGTGATTTATTTAATTTTTGTAAAAAAATTAAAGCTATTAATAGTATAAATGTAAAAAGATTTCTTTTATAATGTTCTTAATAAAAAAAAAACTAGTTTTAATTAATTCACTTTTAAATTTCCGCTAATGATCACAAACCTTGCAATATATCAAATTCCTTCAATTTAATAATTGTATTAAATTTAGTAATAATTTAATAGAATTTTAAATATGCTGACTTTTTATACCTATATATATATATATATATATATATATATATACAGTGCAATATTATCTCTTCCATTTTAAATCTTGTAGTGCTATAAATAAAAATTGTATAATACAGATAAATTTATATTAATAATACTATTTTATTATTGCTATTATAAAAGAAGTCTTATTTGTTTTTAAATAAAACTCTTAAATATAAAACTATACAGTTTAATAGCGCTTTCCACCTTTTTAAATGTGCAAGTAGAACAAAATGTAAAATTATTAAATTACATTAATTAAGTTAATTTATGAATAAAGACAATATTTGCTTTTAAATATTAATCAGTAAGTTTAAATCAGAATAGTTATCAAGAAAATGCCAGGTATTTTTAATGCATATTATTATTATTATTAATAATTTTAGTGTTCCTTATCAATTTTTAAAATAAATTTCTTAAAATAAAAATATGCAGGTTCAAATTTAATTCCAAATATTAAAGTATAAATTATAATTCTTATATCACACATAAATATTTCATTAGGAGTGTTATGTTCCTTTTTTTTTGTAATTATTTTCTTTTAATACTCGAAGTATTTTGTAATTTTTTAAATAATATTTTTTTTTTTAATATATATTTACTTTTTGTAAACTTAATCTTTTTAGATTTGTAACAAAAATTTTAAATATTAATTTACATTTATGGCTATTATAAAAATTTTTTAAATATTCCGATAACCTGGCACAAATTAAATGTAAAACAAAAACTAAATGTAATAAAAATGTTCTTAAAAATTGTTACTTAAATTTTTATGTTTACAATATTTTTAATTTAAGCTCAATTTTAGTTTTAAGTAATATTTTTAATTTAGTTAAAAAAAAAAAAGATTAGTCAATAGAAAATTATTTAGATAAAGAGCTTTTGTAAAAAAATATTTATGAATGTTAAAATATTTAACAATTCTATTTATTTTATAGAAAAAAAAAATATTTAAAAAAAAACAATGATTTAAATGAAAATTCAATAAAAAAAATCTATTAAAAAGATGAGAAAAATTCTTAGTTTTAATTAAATGCAAACGAAAATTTTCCTAAAAGGTTCATAAATTAAAATATGTAATAAAATTATTAAATTAAATTATTTTGATTATTATTGGAAATTGTTAAATCTTATTTAAATTATTTTGAGAATTGTTTCAATTCTTTGAGCAATTTTGCGTTTATCAATTAATTCTTACCGAGTCTGAACGAAAAAGTTTATTTATCAGAAAACATTCGTATACGCAACAAAGATGTATTTTCTTAAACTAAAAAAAAAGAAAGGTCACCATTGTCCCAATAATATATCAATGATCAAATCCTTGATTTGTAAAATGCTCTAAAATTTGTAATAAATGTAATTCCGTTTATTTGACTGTAATGATGTAGGCGATTTTTGATAATTCCCTCTTGCAACTAAAGTTCTAACCTAAATGTTAAAATCTTTTTGTTTTACATCACTTCAGATCTAAAGGAAGTAATTAGTTTACTTTTTCAGATTTAAATTTTTTTATATTTTACATTTTTCCATGTATATGATTGTAATTTTTTACAAACTTAAAATATTTTTGCACCATTCAAAACAATTCTTTAAAATGATGCTTTAGAACTTCAAATATGCTGCATTGATTTGCATGAACGTGCTTCTTTTGTAGTAAAGATTTACCGAATATGCTACATTTATTTGAAGATCTTGTAGTTTTAATTTGTCGAATATTCTTTATATTAAGATTTAAGTTAATGCTAAATTTTTTAAAGTCGTCATCATTTGCTGTAATAATGTAATCGCTGTAATAATATATAAGTTTCAAAAATGATTTATCATTTTCCTTGGCAGATAAATTTTCCATTTAATCTCTTTACTTTGGAATATCTTAATGCGATTATATTTTTTATTGTTCATGGTATTGCATCTTCATTTTGAATAAAACGCCATCGTATATTTTTGTAAATTTTATATATATATATATATATTATTTTTCAAGTTTTATTTAACATAATTTTTTTTTTTTTTCATTTTTTTAACTTTTTTTTTTTCGTTTAATATTAATATTATTTTTTTTTATATATATATACATGTATTAAAATATATAACTTATATATGTACATAGATAAATATAGAACAAACAATAGTTATTATTGATTATTATACTTTCATCGTAAATTTTTTCTCTGTTTTTTTTTTAAATAGAAATATTAATAATAAATCCTATTTTCTATTATATATTTATTAAATAATATATGTATATATATATATATATATATATATATATATATATATATATTAAATTCATTTTATTTTGTTTTTAATTTTTGTTTCATTTTCTTTTTGTTATTTTTTTTTTTAATATTTATCTTCGACTAACAACAATTTTTTTGTATTTCTTGTATAATTTTCATGATCTAAATAAATTATTTTAGTCCTTTTTTCGATTTTTATATATGTAATAGATAATAATTTGTTTTTTTTTTTAAATAAATGTTAAGAATATTTTATAATTTTTAATGTAACAATTAAACTAAGTCCTGTTTAATAAAATAAATTTATGCTATTGTTAAATTGCAATATATTTATTGTAAAACTGAAAGAAAAGAAAATAAATATGTAAAGGATTTTTGTTTTCATCTGTTGTCCTTAATAAATTGTACGAGTTCCATAATTTTTTTTTTATTTTTTTGTCAAATACATTTTAATAATATAATTATAATAACTATTATAATTCTATTGAATATAGAATTCATTCCTCTTTTCTTTATCGAAAAAATATAATATTGTACATAATAATTTAAATACATTTTATATAAATATGTCATATATTTTTTATATTGAAACAAACATTTTATTTCCGATAACATGTTACTCTTCTCTTTTTTCTTTTTATTTATTTATTTATTAATAATAATAATATTAAAAATGTTATTGATTTTAAATAAACTTGTTATATGTACAAATTTTAGAATTTAATTTTTTTTTTGTTTATTTATTTTTTGTAAGCTTAAATAATTTTATATTCTTTTGTTAATTTGTTATTATATTCATATTTTTTTTATATGTAATATTGTTTTAGAAATGGAGGAAAAATTGATTGAATTATGTAATAATAATTAAAAAAAAAATTTAAATTTTAATTGATTACAATAATAAGAATGTTTAAATTGTATTATAGGGGTTTAATTAAGATGGGTTTTAAGATAGAAGTGAATTATTGTATCTATTTTATATAATTTGTAGCATACTTTTATAAATATTATATATGTATGTATATAAGAAAACTTTAAGAAATTTATAAGAGCTACTATTGTATAATTTTTTTTTTTTTATAAATATGAGGAAGCGAAATATTAATAATATAATAGAAAATTTAATTTTTTTATTTCACGCAATACTCTTAAATATTATAAAATTTATATAAATATATATATTATATATATATGTACATACTTGCTTTAGGCCGTCCTTAAATTAAATTATTAATCAGTAAATATAAACACAAAATTATTTTCAACTAAATTGTACGATATGCAACAAAAATCAGAAATAAATTCATATTAAATAATTTTATTTAAGAACAAAATGGGAATTACTGGTCATTTTTAAATATTTAATATATCTTTTTGTTTTTTTAATCTATTCTAGGATTCAGATTTCAATTTTTACATAATATTTATATTCTGGCAGATTTGTAAACAAAAAAAATATTCATATAAGACAAATATCACAATAATTTAAAAATAACAATATATTAAATAAATACACCCGATTTTCATTAGTAAACGATTTACAAATCATTTAATTAATGATAATAAAAATGATTTTAAATAAGGGCGCGAAATACCAATGCAGTTTTGTATTCCGTCGGAGATTAAAAATACAATTTATATCTTAAAAGTTGTGTTAATTACAGTAATATTAGAAAAATTTTAAAATATAGTATAAAAGGATATACAAAAGGATAATATTGTTTACGAATGATAATTTAATATTTAATTAATTTATTAAAAAAAAATATTAGAGGATGAGAAATCAATTTTTTATTGTAGCGTTCTGGGTATTCTAAATTAATTTCTATTTCATTTTGTAAACATTTTGTAACTTAATTGTATAAAAGGAGTCCCATATTAATTTTATATTGATTTTGAATAACATTTTAATTAAATTTTGGGTATCTTCGGAATTGAATCTATGACGCGTCAGACACATTATATCATCTTCAAAAATATCAACAAAAAAATTTCCCGATGTGTTATGTTCAAAATTTATTTGATGTTGTTGTTTGAGACGTTGTTAACACTAAAATATTTATCAAATCGTGTATTCGAAACTTTTTCAATACATATGTTTTTTTATGTATATATTTATTTCAGTTGTAAGTAGAAAATTTTAAATTAAAAGAAATTAAAATAAAAACTTCACTTATTAAAGTAAGCAATGGAATGAAATAATACAATGCATCAAGACTTTTAAGTTTTCAAATGTAAAATAAAAAAAAATAAAGAATACATTGTATGAAAAATTAAATTGAAATTTAATTATTTTTCGATTTTGACAAAATCGTACAAGTTTTATTTGATGATTCCGAACAAACCCTTCCTTTGTACATTATCTGCTTAATTTTTTAATAAAATAAATTTATCAAATTTTATTGAAATTTCAAATTTTAAGATTTCCCGTTTAACTAAATTTAAGACAAAATATTATACATTTTTATTACAATTATTACTTTCCCACTAGAATATTTTATTAAAGTAAAATTATTTAATTTTAAAAATATTTTAGAAAATTTATGCATATAACCGTAAGATATTTACAGTACTTAGTTCATTTTAGTTTTAATAATTAGGAATTTTAATGAATTATTGAAAAATTTTCTGGGT